CTCTTCAGTACTTTGGAGAGGTCCCTAACAGCAGACTTTCCCATGGCAATGTGCCTTTTAATTTCCTGGCTGCTGGTGCCAAGACTGTTGACTATGGAGCCAAGCAAACTAAAGCTGTGTACAATCTCAATCTCTTCACCATTCATCCTGATGCTGCCAATTGGTCCAGTGGTGAGAATCTTTGTCTTCTTGACATTGAGCCTCAATCCATATTGGAGGATGCAGTCCTTGACGCTCTGCAGCAGGTGCTTTAGGTCCTCTTCAGTTTCAGCAAGCAGAGTTGTGTCATCCGCATAACGCAGATTGTTGATAAATTGTCCACCAATCTTGACCCCACATTTCTCCTCATAGAGCCCAGCCTCCCGGATAATCTGTTCTGCATATAGGTTGAAAAGGTATGGCGATAGGATGCATCCCTGGCATACGCCCTTCCCAATTTTGAACCATGCAGTGTTCCCTTGCTCTGTTCTGATGACTGCCTCCTTGTCCAAGTATAAGTTTCGCATTAGAACGATCAAGTGTTCTGGTATTCCCATTCTTCTCATTGTCAACCATAGTTTGTTATGATCTACACAGTCAAATGCCTTTGATAGTCAATGAAACAGAGAAACATTCCTCTGGTATTCCCTGCGTTCAGCCAAGATCCATCTAACATCAGCTACAATATCTCTAGTACGAGGACCCCTTCTAAACCCAGCCTGGACTTCTGGTAGCTCTCTGTTGATGTTCCAGTCGTTTTTGGATAATCTTCAGTAAAATCTAAGCTGACTAGTATTAGGCTTCTCCATTATCCCTTTAAGATGTAGTTTGATACCCGTTTATTCTATCCAGTGAAGTCCATGTGTATAGTCGCGATTTATGTTGCTGGGGGAAAAGCTATTTCCAATTGGTAAGTAGCTCTTCTTATGTTTTTTCCCCCTGTGATTTCTGGCATCATTTCTCCTATCAAGGTCTTATTTTCCAGCTACTGATCTTATTTCCAACTTTTATATTTAGTCACCAGTAACTGTCAATCTCTTATTTATTTCAGGCTATATATGTAAATTTAAGTTAACCAATCCAGAAAACTGTGTTGTTTTTTTCCTTTCCAATTGTTACTTGTTAGCACATGTATGCACAAGAATCTGGAGTGGCACACAACTACAAAGTATTTACAATCAAGCTAAGATTAGGATTGTGTGTGGGTGCTAGTAAAATAGGACTTAATTGTAGCTGCCTTTAAATTTTACCCCTAGTCATTCCCCATGGTTATAAGACACAATTCTGTCTGCTCTTGTGCCATTGCCATGACTGGTTTTGGACTGGACCATGGTGATTCACAGGCTTTTCATTTGCTGCTTTTCAGAAAGTGACTGTCAAGTCTTGCTTCCTAGTTTGTTTTAGTCTGGCTCTAGAAGGCATTCAGGCTTGTAGACCAAGGACTAGGTTATATTTTGAATGACAGATGATCACTGGAACCAGGATCAGTGGGACTGGATGTACACTTCATTCCTGCTGCTGAGAGGAAAAGAAACTGAAGGCAGTAAGAATAGGAAGGAAATCTATTAGAATACAACTAAAATGAGGCAAGAGATGGTGGCTTAGAGTGGCAGTGGGATAGGTTAGCCAAGTAGGTGGTGTGGTGTTGTACACATCAAGTTGAAACCAACACTTAGCTGACTCTCCAGCAGATTTTCAGAGGAATTTTTTATTGAATCTGAAGTAAAACATAAGAGAAGTCAAGGATGGCATAGGATTTTGTCCTGAATAAAGGAGTGAACAGCTGGGTTTCAGAGACAATCAGGCCAGGAAATGCAGTCAATTAATCTTAGACACAGTGACTACAAGAAGAGGCGTTACGTACAGCAAACACTGTGAAGATGGCAAAGGTTCAGCCAAGCTTTCAGTCTGCTGTACACATTGTCACCAAGAATCGGAGTGACTTGGATGACACCTAACCACAATTTTTCTAGTATGTATTTTTGTGGTTTGCTGCTGTCATTTATGAATCATGATAATTTTATGTCCAGTTTTCAAGGTTGTGATTAACAAGCCCATCTTCTGGGTGGGTTAGGATCACAGTATTTCAGCTATTAAAATGCTTAACTATTTGTGCCACTTACAGGCTGGTGGATATACAGGCCTGGGGCTCAGAAAATGGCCAGACTAAAGTTTTATAATTTTGAACATAATGGCAGATGATTAAAGCCTCAGGATTCTCAAGGTAGAGACAGGAAAGCCCACCCTTAATGATAGGTTTGGAACAATTTATGTTCTCTGAAAGGCAGTAGCTTGCTGGAGGAAGAAGACAAAAGATTCTCCAGATGATATGATGAACAGAAGTTCCTTCCAAAAAGGTCTAAGACTTTACTTAGGATCAGAAGAGTCTTCTTTCTGGGGAGCTCAGGTGGCCTAGTGCCAAGAAGCTGCAACTACAGTCCCAGAGGTGCACGGTTCGAATCCACCAGATGCTCTGCCGGGGAAGGAGGGGCAATCTCCTCCTGTACCAGTCAGATCTGATTTGACGGTACATGCACACAAAAATAATAAAATTTAAAAATAAATAAATAAAAAAAAAAGAATAGTCTTCTTTCTGAGACTTCAAAGATTTCTTTTTCCATTTACTTGTTAGCTCACAGATAAATTATTGACCTACCAATAATCCTCAGGATTAGGTATTCACAAAGTATGCTGCCCGGAGTCTTGACTCAAATCTTTGCTAAACACATTGATAAAATGCTACTCCAAAAACAGATTTGGGTTTGGATGTATTCTTGTATCCCAAATTTATGAAAGCAACTGGGTCTGCTTTCAATTATGCACAAATATTGTCACATTATCCTTGTTTACTGTTGTTGCTATGCCGCTGACGACTCATAGCCATCCCTAAGTACAACAGCTCTGAACCCTGCTTTGTCTTGAACCGTTATTGTCTCTGACACACCTACCCCCATTACCCCAGTCACTGTCAATTCATCTCATTTTAAGGATCTTTCTCTTCTGTGCTGTCTTTCCACCCTCCAAAGCATGACATCCCTCTCCAAGGACTGATCCCTCCTTGCAACATGCCCAAAATATGTCAGACGGAATCTCAGAATACTTGCCTCCAAGGAGCAGCCTTGTTTCACCTTCTCTAGGATGAACCTGTTTATTCTCCTGGCAGTCCATGGTCTATTTAATACACTTTTCCAGCACCACAGCTCAAAGGCATCAATTTTCTCTCATCCTAGTTATTGTCAAGGTTTCTGATGCATGGCAAGTAATTGCAAAGACCATAGCCTAGATCAGATGCACCTTATCATGAATAGTTTAAGACACAGAACTTTTTAGCAAAGGAGGGAAAGAATTCAAGCAAAGTAATCCAACTGTTTCACAATCCTGCTTGAACTTCTGATAGTTCCTTGTCTAAGTACTGTTCTAGCTGTTTTTTAATGATCTTCAGCAGTATTTTGCAGCAGTAGTTTGTGGTATTATTCGAGAGTTTCCACATTCTGTTGGATGACCTTTCTTGTGAATGCCAACAGATAAAGACCTCTTCCAATCTGTTGCCCAAATAGCTGTTCTCCAAATTTCCTGCATACACCAAGGAACACATCCAGGACTGCATCTGTTAGGTTAAACAAGTCAATTGGTAACCTATCAATTCCCAGGACCTTATTTTTTGCCAGTGCCAATTCTGTGCAGCTTCAATTTTCTCCTTTACCATTTCTTCCTGCTCATTAAGGTACTTGCTGAAATTTTCCAGTGTTTGTCACTTTTTGGTACAAGTGACTCTTTAGATCCCCTTCATCTTATTTCGATGCTTTCTGGATCATTCATCATATTGTTCATAGCATCTTTCAATATTGTGATTCTAGGCTCAAATTTGTTTTTCAGTTCTCTCAGCATAAGAAATGCAGAACAAGTTCTTCCTTTTTTATTCTCCTATTCCAGCTCTTTGCACATTCCATTACAATGTTTTGCTTTGTGTTCTCAAGCTGCCCTTTGAAATCTTCTATTCAGCTCTTTTACTTTGGTGTGTCGTCCCCCCCCTTTTTTTTTTGGCTTCTTGAGCTACACTGCAATTTTCAGAGTCTCTTTTGACATCTATTTTGTTTTATTCTTTCTCCATTATCTTTGTAATGACCTTTTGCTCTCTTCATAGATGATAGCCTTGATGTCACCCAACAACTCATTTGCTCTTCGATCACTGGTGTTCAATTCTTCAAACCTATTCTTAAAACAATTCTGGAATTCAGGTGGAACAGACTCAAGATTATATTTTGATTCTTGTGGACTTGTTTTAATTTTCTTTAGCCTCAATTTGAACTTGCACAAGTAACTGATGGTCTGTCAGTCTACCCCTGGCGTAGTTTTGAATACTGATATTGAGCTTCTCCAGGATGATTTGGGGGACTTTTAAGGTTTTCTTTTTCTTTTTTCTAAAGTTTTAGGTTATGCATTTTTTAAAAAGTAAATAGTAGGCATGTACTGCTTTTTAACTGTGGAAAACAATGACATTAGGGGAATAGCAAATAACCACAGAAGATAAAAAAATCCAGTTATATTTCTTTTTCATTCTTCAATTCTTAAACTACTAAAAATGAATATTTAAATATATATAAAAGAAAATATTTAGAGATTTTATTATGTAGTATTAAGAATATATATATCAAGTACAAAAGTGTAGAAATATTGCTTTATTGGCATTAACTTACATCCAAATTATTTTATGCTTAAAAAAAACCTTAACAAGCACTCAAGAAGAAAACACATAGTTTCCATATGAATAAGGGCAAACAAAATGGGGCTGATGATTGCCCCAAATGATATTTCCTAAGGGGAAAAAAAAAGTAATATTTAACCTTTCGTCTTTTGAGGCAAGGTAAATTAACTACACAATTTATAAATAAGATATTCTTACATTATAAGGAGCAAGAACAAAGATCCTGTTTTTGATGCATATCAAATAAAAAATACAAAATCCACTCTTTTGACCAAGAAGAGGGTGGGAAAGAAATGATTCTTCAATACTTCAATTCTCATGCAATGAAGTCCAAGGGTCTGTTGAATCCACCTTTTCTATTCATGTACTGCCTATAATGAGAAAAGGAAATATACATTTTTTTAAACATTTAGACAACAAAAAGATAAACCACCCATTTTTTTTTAAATGGGCAAAGGACTAGAATAAATATTATATCAAAGAGTATACTCCAATAATCACAACACCTGAAAAGAGAGGCCCATTATCACTAGCCATTAGGGAGATTTAAGTCAAAACCAGAATGAGATTATTTTCCATCCATATTAGAATGGCAATGATAGGGAGGGGGGAATCCAAAACACAAGTGTTGGTGAAGTCATAGAGAAACTAGAATCATCATCCACTGCTGGTGGAAATGTGGTGGATCAGGTACTATGGAACAGTTTGGTGATTCCTCAGTAAATCAAGCAGAGAATTACTAAACAACACTGCAATCCCAATACTAGGTACATAACAGAAAAAGTGAAAGCAAAAATGAAAAAAGAAGTCTGCTCACTTCAGCAATTTTCACAACTGACAAATCGTGGAAATAATAGAAATGTACATCCACAAACATAAACAAAATACGATAAATACACATAATGGAATATTGTGTAGCCACAACTCTGACACTTGTCATACATAGATAAACCATGGTACATACTGAGGAACTAGTCAGTTGCCAAAGACCAAATAGTGCATGAACTCATGCATGGAAAATAAACAAATATACATAACCAAAGATTACTGATGGTTCCTAGGTGTGGAGAGGAGGGATAAAGCAGAAGAGCTTTCTTTAAGGGGATGAATATTAGGTATGTTGATGGGGGCAAACATTTAAGAGGGGCACTATGATGATAGTGGCACAACATGAAAAATGTAAGCAATGTTAAAAACTCAAACTCAATGCAGTTGTACTGGTTCTGACTCAAAGCAAGCCTTCATTTCTGAGGCTGTAATCTCAATAAACTGCCCATCTTTCTCTGAGGAAGTTGCTAATGGATTGGAATCACCAGACTCACACACCCTTTGGGTTGTAGCACAACTCTCTACAGACTATATCACCAGAACTCTCATATGATAAACAATGTCAATGAACTGTAAATGTGAAAGGTGTGTTGGTAATATTTTGTTGTGTATTTCCTGACCTTCTCTTATATGAGCAGAATCATACTTTGTTGTTAGTCAAAGATTAAACTGAACCTATCATAGGACTAATACTCTACATGAACCATGAGACTGAAGAACCAGATGGGGCCTGGCTACAACTGCTAATCAGGGACACAAGATGGTCCCAAAGAGAATGAGAGAAAAACACAGCATGAAATCCCTTTAAAAAAAAAAAGCCAAATTTATTGGATGAGACTAGAGGAGCCCCCAAATGATTTCCAAGACCATTGAAGTATTTCAGCTAACAAATGTTGCCCTGGATGTGCTCACCAAGTTGTGCCAAGAAATCTGGAGAACAACCACTTGGCCAAATGACTGGAAGAGATCTATATTTGTTCCCATTCCAAAGAAAGGTGACCTAACTGAGTGTGGAAACTACAGAAAAGTGTCATTGATTTCACATGCAAGCAAGATTTTACTGAAGATTATCCAAAAATGATTAGAACAGCACATCAGCAGAGAACTGCCAGAAGTCCAGGCTGGGTTTAGACGGGGTCGTGGTACTAGGGATATTGTTGCTGATGTTAGATGGATCTTGGCTGAAAGCAGAGAATACCAGAAGAATGTCTATCTGTGTTTCATTGATTATGCAAAAGCATTTGACTGTGTGGATCATAACAAACTGTGGCTGACTCTGAGAAGAATGGGAATCCCAGAACATTTAATTGTGCTAATATGAAACCTATACTTGGACCAAGAGGCAGTAGTCAGAACAGAGCAGGGTAACACTGCATAGTTCAAAATTGGGAAGGGTGTACGCCAGGGATGCATCCTGTCTCCACACCTTTTCAACATGTATGCAGAGCAGATTATCCGAGAGGCTGGGCTCTATGAGGAGAATTGTGGCATCAGGATTGGTGGAAGATCTATTAACAATCTCTGTTATGTAGATGACACAACCCTGATTGCTCAAACTGAGGAGGACCTCATGCACTTGCTGCGAAGGGTCAAGGACTGCAGCCTTCAGTATGGACTGAGGCTCAATGTCAAGAAGACAAAGATTCTCACCACTGGACCAATTGGCAGCGTCAGGATGGATGGCGAAGAGATTGAGAGTGTTCACAGCTTCAGTTTTCTCAGCTCCACAGTCAACACTCTTGGCACCAGCAGTCAGGAAATCAAAAAGCGTATGGCGATGGGAAAGTCTGCTGTTAGGGACCTCTGTAAAGTACTCAGGAGCAACGGTGTCTCTCTGGAGACTAAGGTGCGCCTGATACAGGCCATGGTCTTTGCAATCGCTTGTTATGCATCAGAGAGTTGGACAATGACTAGGGAGGACAGAAGGAGAGTGGATGCTTTTGAGCTGTAGTGCTGGAGAAGAGTACTGAATGTACCATGGACTGCCAGGAAAACAAACAGATTCATCTTGGAGAGGATTAAACCAAGCAACTCCTTGGAGGCAAGGATTCTGGGGCTTTGTCTGACATACTGTGGACATGTTGCCAGGAGGGACGGGTCCTTGGAGAGGGACATCATGCTTGAGAGGGTGGAGGGACAGCGCAGGAGGGGAAGACCCTCTATGAGATGGATTGATTCGGTGACTGGGGTAATTGGGATGGGTGTGTCAGAGGCAGTGTGGTTGGTGCAGGATAGAGCAGGGTTTAGGGCTTTTGTGCATAGGGTCGCTATGAGTCGCAAACGACTCGACGGCACATAACAACAACAACATGAAACTGAAATCTTCCATGAAAGTCACCATTTAGCCAAATAACACACTCAATCCTTAAGTCAGCACTGAATGATCCATCAGTAGGTTTTCAGAGACTATAAATTGCAGAACAGGAGACTCAACTTTCTCCCTCAGAGCTACTGGTGGACGTAAATCAAATGCCTCTGGGCTGGCAGCATAAACTCTTTATCCACTAAGCCACCAGAGCGCTCCAAAATAGCAGACTAATTCACTATTAAAATAGGATCATCTGTGGGTACTGTGACCCTTTAAAAAAATAATCTACATGAGGACCAAATAGTTACATTTTACAAAAAATGAGAAGGTATAAGAAGGTAGTGAAACTAGATTAATGGAAATGGAACAATCAGAATAGAAATGAGAACCTAGCACATAGTGAAAAACGTAGCCAATGCTACTCTGTGTGTGTGTGTGTCTATCTATATGCATATGTGTGTATCCAGATATGTATATATATATATATGTATGTTGTTGTTGCTAGGTGGTGTCAAGCTGACGACCATTCATAGCAACCCTATGAACCACAGACCTAAAGTATGCCCTCTCCTGGGCATCCTCGTCCCCTCTGATATGCCTGAGCCCACCGTTACAATCACTAATCCATCCTTAAGGGTCCGGACCTTTCCCAACGTGGTATCTCTCTTCAAAGACAGGTTCCTCCTGAAAATGTGCCTAAACTAAGTGAGACAAAAATCTCAGCACCCTTGCCTCTAAGGAGTATATTGGTTGCACTTCCTCCAAAACAAATTTGTTCTTCTCAGTGTTCTTCAAAACCACAAGTCCAAGAACAATACATATAGAAATAATTAAATGGAAACAATTTGCTGCTCCACCTTTCACTAAAAATTATATGCATATACATATGTGTGTATATGTGTGTGTGTATGTATATAAAATCCTATCCCTGTGCTAGCGAAGAATACTGACTACCACGGGTGCCAACAGAACAAATAAATCTGTCCTGGCCGAAGTACAGCCAGAATGATTCCTGGAGATAATAATCAATACCCATGATAGCAATAGTCAAGAAATCAAAACATGTGTTGCACTGGAAAATGGTTTGTCAAGGACTTCACCAAAGGGCTAAAGAGGAAGGATACTAGTTTTAAGACTAAAGTGTGCCTGATCCAAGCCTTTGTATTTTCAATTGCTTCCTGAGCATTTGAAGTTTGGACAGATGAGTAAGGATGAAAGAACCAATGTCTTTGAGTTGTGGTGTTGGTGAAAACTGACACTGACTGTAACAACAGGCTGAGCATGTCAGAAGTTGTGAGAGTGTAGCAGGATAGGTAGGGCAAGGTTTCCATCTGTTGTTCATAATGTTACTATGAGTCATGATAACTCCACAGCACAGAAGAGCAACAGCATACAGGAGATGGACCTGGATTCAACCACCAGCATATCTGTCAGTAAAGACTCACATTGGTGGAGCTTCCACACTATAGACCAAGGAGAAAGGCCTGACAACGTACTTCTGAAAATCAACCAATACAAACTGATCTTCATGTACAGCTCATAAGACAACCAAGGACAACAAAAACAGAAACAGACAGGGACAGATACATTCCAGAATTACACCCTGAATCCAGACTTCCAACTTCAAGAATATGAAAAATAAGTTTCTATTCTTTAAAAAAAGCCACCAAAATAGAAGATTGTGGAGCTGTAGTTCTACTTTGTATCCACAGGGTCACCAAAAGGATGAGTCATCACAACGGCACCAATAACACACCTGGTTAATGTAAGTAAAGGGTTCTTTTGTTTACAAAGTAATCCAAAGCCTCTCACATTTCTTTAAAATTCAAAAATATAAATTGTAATATGGAAGTATTCTGTCAAAACTATTTGGAATGTCCAGCTCCTCCATGCACTGAACCCCTAGAATGTGATTTCTGTTACTTTGTATTTCTCTGTGGGCTCCCCTATCCCATTTTGTTTTGCCTTTGGTAGACCTTCAAATTTGGATGTTTGGAGGAGTGAGCATTGTCATTTAGCTCCTGAGGAAAATTCCTTTTAAAAAAAGTTTTTATTTCGAGATTAAGATTTGGTGCTTAAAAAAGTGTCAAGGGAGAAAAAAAAATAAATAGCATTGCTCCCATTAATGTTACAAAAGAAAAAAAAAACACTCCTATTTGGAAGGTAAAACTATTTGGAATGTAACTGATTATCATTTGTGCACATAAAACAGATCTAACTGGCAAAGGCTTTATTTTTTTTACTTTGTATTGGTTTGTATACAAAATTCATATACATTGTGTTTTATTTGTATAGTGTTTCACATATTCCTCCATTCACACAATGTTTTCTTAAATACATTTTATAATTTTAAAAAGACTCTTCAAATTATTTGGTAAATTATACATGTATTAATTATTGAATGTTACCCATTCTGGGAAAGATCTCATGTGAAAAACAACATATACGAACTTTTTAAGTAAGCCAATATAATTTAAAAAAAAAAACAAAACAAAAACCCTAGGGGAGCTCTGGTGGCCTAGTGGCAAGGGAACTGCAACTACAATCTCAGAGGTGCACGGTTCAAATCCACCAGATGCTCTGCCGGGGAAGGAGGGACAATCTCCTCCTGTACCAGTCAGATCTGATTTGACGGTACACTCACACAAAAATAAAAAAAACAAACAAAAAACCCTGTTGAATGTTGTATGTTCTGAGGTGTATCATCTCAGCAACAACTAAACTACAAGTCAAATCAATTATTTTATAATCTATAGTCTTTTAAAAATTAAATTAGAAATCCATATATTCATTTTAGGTAGCATGAAAATCTTAATTAAAGGAAACAGGAGAGTTAGAAAACAGGTATTTATTTATCAAGCAAACTGGACTGGGCACCTTGTAAAATTATTATTTTACAAAGAACCATACATGATGATTCTAGTACTTTTATCTTACAGGATTCTTAAATCACATTATTTATCTCTGTCATTCTCACTGTCATCAAGTCAGAACTGACCACCCCACCCCCACTACATTTTCTGAGGCTGTAAATTGCACAGGAGACAGCCCATCTTTCTAGCCCACCAGGAGAAAGTGCTGATGGACCAGAAAGATGTGGCCCTTGGGAGTTAGCAGCACAACTCTTTAGGGACCACCTCATATTATCTATATTCTAACTGGAATACTGATCTATCACGTGTTCACATTTCAATTTATTAGGAAATGAGTGGGTTTTAAAGTATGAATTGGTCTGTTCCAAATCCTTAGTACTAATAAAATACAAATGCACCTGGTAGTGCAGTCTGAGGGAGTTGTGCAACTAACCCAGAGACTGTCTCTGTGGTGGTTCGAATACACCAGGGGCTCCTCAGGAGAAAGATGGGAAATCTCCCATGCAATCTGTGGCCTCTAAAAACCTGCTGGAGGGTTGGCTGTGAGATGGTTCCTACTTTACAGCAAGTTGAGTGAGTGACCCACTGGGAGCTGCACTGCAAGACACAAAACTCTTTCTGTTGGTTTGCATCAACCAATGGCTCCATAGGAAGAAGATGGGCAATCTCTTTCTGTGCGGTTTACAGTCTACAAAACCCAATGGGATGATGGCATGATTTGTTGGTTTTTAAAAAGATATAAAAACACTGTATTTATAGCTGAAATCTTTACATAATAAATCTGCGTAAACGACTTAGGAAGGATCCATTTTAAACTTATAAAATCAAAGCCTAAAGCCTTGAGATTATGCTATTTTGAGGAAAGAACTACTTTACAGCCCAAAACATGTAAGTAAACTGTTTTTTTTCTCTCTAACAGCTATTAGTTCACAGGTGAACTGGAAAACAATTTTAATATGGCAGAATACAAGCAAAGAGGAGAGCCCTGCATTAAAGGAAGGGGCATGATGAAAAACTGTTACATTTCCTATAGGCGTGATCATCCTATAATACAATTCTTTCTTAAGTATGTAATTTACATTATGAAAGCAAGAATTGGGCTATGCAAACCTGTATTTCCTCTTCTGAGATACATTTATGGCATAGGCATTTACAGAGCCATCCACCTTCTTCCCCTGGAAAAGAAATAAACAACTATAAAAACAGAAAGGATATGTTAAATGACCAGAGGATCAGATCTTTGCAAATATACTATAAGATCAAATCATCTAGTGAGGGTGAAAAAAAATGCTCAAATTCTGATGATATCCCAGAATTTCCCAAGTATTAAAACTCTGCTCATATTTATGTGCGTAACAAAATGTTTCCTATTTCAATCTTTTTGAGTCTATAAATCCAAGGACAAGAACCCATCACATTGTGCCATCATCATGACTCATGCCTTGATGCAGCCACAAGCCGAGTTGGTTCCAATTTACACCAACCTCCTGTAAGGTTTCTGAGACTATAAACTGTAAAAGGAGGAAACTATCCATGTGCTTCCCAGAGCACAGCAGGTGAATCAGAACTGCTTACGTTCTGGTAGTAGTTGTTAGGTGCCATTCAGTCAGCTATGACTCAGAGTGGCTTTATGAACTAGAGATGGAAAACTTGTCCTATCCTGTGCCAGCCACACACTCTCCATTGTTGTAGTCACTGTCAATCCATCGTGTTGTGAGTTGTCCTTTTTTTCTGGAATCTTCCCAGCATGATGCTGTTTTCCAAGGCGTGGTCCCTCCTGACATGCCCAAGGTTACCTGAGATGATGTTTCACCATCCTTGACTTTAAGAAGCACTGTGGTTGCATTTCCCCCAAGACAGACTTGTTTGTTCTTCTGGCAGTCTATGATTATTCAAAAATCTCTGCCAACATCAAAATTCAAAGGCATCAATTCTTCTTCTGTAATCTTTAATCACTGCCCAACTTTCAAATGCATAGAAAGCAACTTAAAATACCATGGCTTGAATCAGGTACACCTTAATTCTTTAAATAGACATCCTTACTCTTTAGCACTTGGAGAGGTCCCTGACAAAACATCTTCCTAATGCAACATGTCTTTTAATTTCATGAATGCGGCTACCATGGATGTTGGTTGTAGACTCCAATTCTTTTCTCCAATTACCATGATACTGCCTTTTAGCCCAATGTTGAGAATTATTGTTTTCTTAATTCTGAGAAGTAATTCATACTGAGGACTGCAGTCTTCGAACTTCTGCACTAAGTGCTTCAAGTCTACACTCTAAGCAAGACTGTGTCATGTGCATAACATAGGTTGTTGATGAGATCTCCTCCAAGGCTAATGTCACATTCTTCTTCATACAGTTCAGCTTCTCAAATGATTTACTCAGTATACAAACTGAACAGATACAGAGACAGGATACAAGCCTGACTCACATCTTTCTTGATTTTAAATTGTTCTGTTCAGGCAAATGAATTTTGGTCTATGTATGGGTTTCAGACAAGCACAATTAAGTGTTATGAGATTCCCATTCTTCTCAATGTTAGCCATAATTTATTAAGACAACATTGACTGTATGATACAATGACTGTTCCAGCTACTTTTTTTTTTTTTCATTTTCTACTAGTTTATTTACAAAATTCAAATAGTTTGAAAGAACGAATTCTTTCAATTTCCTTCACACTCCCCACCCATCAAACTGTACAACCCCATGATTAATCCTCCCCTCCCCCTGCACATCCTCATCCCTCTGCTTCTAACCTCACCCACCCCTCTTGGATCTTCACACTCATTCTACATTCTATAATGTTTTTATACAGTATTTATCCTTGTCGGACTGAGTTGGTTCACTCAGCATAATGCTCTCCAGTCCCTCCCAAGTTAGGTAGTAATTTATAAAACCATTGCTCCTGCATGCTGCATAAAATTCCATTGTGTGAATGTGCCATAATTTCTCAATCCAATTGTTTGTGGTTGGACATTCAGGCTGTTTGCATGTTCTTGCAATGTCAGGTTGTTAAATTTTGTGAAAAGGAAATTTTTCTGGAGAGACTATCCTAACTTTTATTTGATTTCAACACCAAAAAGGTCATCAGCTGCTCCTCCACTTATCCTGACAAGCCTTACCTAGAATACAGACCACAACTGTTGGCTTGACTACAATCAAAGTGTGAGGGTACCACGGTGCTACCTTTTTTTTTTTAGTCAAAAAATTCTTTGAAATCAGATAAAAAGTTAGACATTACTCCCCAAAAGACTGACATTTCACAAAACTTAACTATCAACATGAGCGTTCTCAAGTCATTGCTGGAACAGTTACTTTTCATCTAAATATCATTTCTTACATAGGCCTTGAAATCTTTATTTTTAAAACAAGATTCTGAAAACAGAAAAAAAGGTGCTTATGCTACTGAAACTTAGTTACTGACCTTTATTTACGTGGTATCTACTCCCTCTGTTATGAACTCCTTTATAGGTTTTCTGAGCCATCCAAGTTGACTTTCTCTACCTACTTCCCTCCATGTTGTTTTTTATGTTTGAGTTATCTTCTCTACCCCTAAGGAATCCTTTAACTCTCTGGTTTTTATCCATCATTTAAGGCTCAATTCAAGTAATCTCACCACCGAGATGTCCTCTCTCCTCTGAGAACTAAATTTACACTGCTTTCCTTATAGAATTGTCCTCTATTTTTTTTTCACTCAGTATTACTACAGTATATACCAAAAAAAAAAAAAAGAGAGAGAAAAAGTCAAAATCCAGAAGCCCACAATATCATGGCCATCAAGTAAATTCTGAGTCACAATGACTCTGTAGGACAGAGCAGAACTGTCCCTACAGACTGGCCCTGCAAACCTTTTTAGAAGCAAACTGACTGGCTGGAGGATTTGAACCTTGACTTGTCGGTTAGCAGAACTGTTTAACCACAATGTCACTGGGACTCTTTAAAGTACATATGCATGAGGTTAGCCTGCAAGCCTCTTGGCGGTGAATATTATGGATTGTACCCTTTCCCCCTCAACCCTTACCCCAAAAATGTGTTCGAATTCCAATCCCTGTAATGGTGGATGCATTACAATTAAAAAACAGGAGATATTATGTTAATCAGATCATACTTGTGAAACAAAATCTAAATCTCCTGTGATGTCAATTCTAACTCGTGGCAACACTTAGTGGGTTTGCTGAGGCTGTAAACATTTACAGGCGGAGACTGTGCATCTTTTTCTATGGAACAGGTGGTATATTTAACTGCTAACCTTTCAATTAGTAGCCCAACACGTAACACAGGGATTCTTCTACTCAATAAATTCAAAACTCATTGTCATTGAATCAGAAACGACCCACAGCTGACTGTAAATCACACAGGAAGAGACTACCCATCTTTCTCCCTCAGATCAGTTGGGAGGATTTGAACCACTTCCCTGTGGCTGGCAGTGCAACTCTTAGGCCAGCAGAGCTCCCTATACTCAATACAGTGAAACTAAGGACTCTGAGCTGTGGTGCTAAGAAGATTACCAAATATATCAAAGACTGCTAAGAGAACAAACAGGTTCGTCCTAGAGAGGGTGAGACCAGCCTGCTCCTTGAAGGCAAGCTCCATCTGACATATTTTAGGCATGTTGCAAGGAGGGACCAGTCCTTAGAGAGGGACAGCGCAAGAAAGGAAGACCCTGGATGAGATGGATTGATTCAGTGACTGGGATAATGGGGGTAGGTGTGTCAGAGACAATGAGGTAGGCTCCAGATATAGCAGGGTTCAGAGCTGTTGTACACAGGGTCACTATGAGTTGAAAGTGATTCAATGACATGTAACAACAGCCACAAGTCTAATCATTTCTAAATTTTAAGAGATCAGTTAAGTCACAGAGACACATGTTGGGAAGAAAGAAGGCAGTGAGAGTCACAAAGAAACCAAGGAACAGAATGCCCAAGCACCAAAAAGAAAGAAGTAAAAGGAAAAAAAAAAAAGAAGAAAGAAGTAATACGGCCGAGACCCTGATTTGGGATATTAGCCTCCAGAAATGCTAAGAAAATAAACTTCAGTTCTTTAAAAGCTTCTATTTACCTGATTCACCAAACCTAATGTACCATGTCTACTTGCTTCCATTTTAGTTTCTCATACCTTAACTGCTTAGGCTAGAGCACTCAGATGTGTCCAAAATATGACTTAAATATATGAACATCAACCATGACAAATACCCCTAAAGGCGTATGTGGCACTCAATCTCCACTTCCCTCATTATTACTCCTAGGAGTGGTAGCCTAGCTGTATAAATAGTAATTAGGATAGAAAAATGCTTTATTTGAAAAGGAAAAAAAGGAACTTCAGATACATTTGGTTTTCCTTTCCTATTCCTGTTTCATTTTATTGGACAAATTACTTGTGACGTAGGATTCTGCCCTCCTGTAGAATAAATAGGACAAATGTATGGCTTCTAAAGACTTCTTTTGGGGGATAAAAAAGTAAATGAAACTATTTGCAGAGTTGAGAATTATTAGCTCTATTCTCATTTACTTGTTAACTGGCAATGGAAAATCATGCACTAATAGGATATTAAAATTATTGAAACTAGGATATTAAAACAGAAAATAAGCAAGGTGCGTCTGATACAGGCCATGGTCTTCGCAATCACCTGTTATGCATGAGAGAGTTGGACAATGACCAAGGAGGATAGAAGGAGAATTGATGCCTTTGAGCTGTGGTGCTGGAGAAGAGTATTGAGAATACCATGGACTGCTAGGAAAACAAATAGATTTGTCCTGGAGAGGGTTAAACCGGGTGGCTCCTTGGAGGCAAGGATTCTGAGGCTCCGTCTAACTTACTTTGGACATGTAGTGAGGAGAGACTGGTCCTTGGAGAGGGACATCATGCTTGGGAGGGTGGAGGGACGGCGCAGGAGAGGAAGGCCCTCTATGAGGTGGATTGATTCAGTGACTGGGGTAATTGGGATGGGAGTGTTAGAGACGGTGCGATTGGCACAGGACAGAGCGGAGTTTAGGGCTGTTGTACATGGGGTCGCTATGAGTCGCAGGCGACTCGACGGCACATAACAACAACAAATATTGGCATAGGAAAAAGTCCGATCACATATTAATAATATCCCAAGATTAACATTACTGAAAAATACAAATAAGCTGAAGACTCTGTGATAGTCATGAAGCCAACAACATTGGCAAAATTAGCAGCCTTATGTTGTTGTTGGGCGCCATCAACTACAGCTCATAGTGACCCAACAGATCTGAACCTTGTCCAATCCTGTGCTATCCACAGTCTCTAACATACTTTAGCCTACTGTTACTGTCAATGTGCCAATCCATCTTATGGAGGGTTTTCATCTTTCTCTGATCCTCCACCTTTCCTAAGGACTAGACGTCTTTGGGGAACTCTGATGGCTTAGTGCTAAGCATCTGCAGTGTCAAACCAAAGGCACCAGGTACAAATCCATCAGCTTTTCCATGGGAGAAAGATGGGCAATCTCTTCCCATGCAATTTAATGCCTCAGAAAACCTCACTGAAGGGTATGCTATGAGCTGGTTCCAGCTTGATGGCACATGACAATGACAAAGTATCTTTAGCAAGGCTGTGTCACCTGCATAATACATGTGGTTGGTGAGTTTTCCTCTGATCCTGATGTCACATTCTGCATAAATTCAAGCTTTTTTTTTTTTAAAAAAAAAATTCAAGCTTCTTAAATGACCTCTTCAATATACAGACTTAAAAGGCATGGAGAGATTCAGCCTTTATGTATATCTTTCTAAATTTTAAACCATGCAGTGTTCCCTTGCTTTGTTCAGAAAACAATCTCTTGGCACAATTAAGTATTCTCGGATTCCCATTCTTCTCAATCTTAGCCATAATTTGTTGTCATCCACACAGTAAACTGCCTCTGCAGGGTCACGAAAACTGAGATAACCTTCTGGTTTTCTCCACTTTCAGCCAAAACCACATGAGATCTCGAGAAAAGCACATGCCTGAGAACAAAGCTCAGAAGGCGAGAAAGGTTATGACAGGAAGATTAAGAGAAACAAGAATCAAGGGAAGAAAGGAAGAGAACATTGTGGGAATTGTAATCATTGTCATAAAACAAACTGTATGAATAGAAAAACAATTTGCTTTGTATTTCATTAAAGCATCAAGAAAAACAAAGTTATGTTTCAGTACTTATCTCTTAGATCTCTTTCACTATCATTTGAAAACTAAAAAAACTGGGCTTCTCAAATCCCATTAAAAAGAAACAGCACCTGAGGTCACCCTGACTCCCTAAAAACTCAGCAATATACAAGACCAGAGAGTGGATTATTCTGGACTATTTTTCTTAAATATCTCAATTTTTCTTTATTTTTAAAATGAGATTTTAATGAAAGTTTATACAGAACTTGGATTTCCATTCATTCATTGTTGCACATTTTCCTCCCTACTCCCCTCAGTTTGTTTTTTTTTTTAAAAGAAATTTCATTGTCGTACAATTCCCCACCCCCACCACAGTCCACTTCAATATGCAGTTCTTTTTCTGGACTACTGTCATAAAAATAATAACTAATCATATATTCCTTTTAAGCAGTTCTTTCCTTCATCTGTTTCAATGCAGTGTACATTATTTATACCTTCTTTTTTTAGTTCCCCCCAACCCCCATGTCAGTTCTGTTTTATAATATTTCACTCAGCATAATGTCCTCCAGGGTCACCCATTTTGTTTATTTCATGAGTTTCTTATTTTTCAGTGCTGTGTAGTATACTACAGCTTCTCAATCCATTCATTTGTTGACAGGTATGTGGGTTGTTTCCAGCTCTTAGATATTGTGAACAACGTAGCAATAAACATGAGTGTGCATGTATCTAGTTGGGTGGCAATTCTGGTTTCTGTAGGGTATATTCCCATTAGAGGGACTGCTGAGTCAAATGGTATTTCTATTTGCAACTTTCTGAGAAAGCACCATACTGCCTTCCATAGTGGTTGCACCATTTTACACTCCTACCAACAGTGAATAACGATTCCAGTTTCTCCGCAGCCTCGCCAGCATTTGTTGTTTGCTGCTCTGTTAAATTCTGCTATCATTACTAGAGTGAAATAATAACTCAGAGTTGTTTTGATTTGTATCTCTCTTAGAGCTAGGGATTTTGAACATTTCTTCATATGCTTGTTAGCTATCTGAATGTCTTCTTTGGTGAAGTGTCTGTTCCTATCCTGTGCCCATTTTGCCACTGGGCTATTTACCTTTATCTTGTTGTGGTGCTGGAGTATTCTATCAATTCTAGATACAAGTTCCTTATCAGATATGTCATTCTCAATTTTTTTTTCTCAGTCTGTGGCTTCCCTTTTTACCCTGTTGGAGAAATTTTTTGATATGCATAGGGATTTGATTCTTAGAAGGTCTCATTCATCTATTTTATCCTTTCCTGGCTGTAGGTAAGTATCTCAATTATGACTTAAAGCTCTAGAACATTTCTGAAAATACATTGTCTTTTTCCTTATTCTCGCTATCCTCCCTCCTTTTTATTCCCTCCACTTCCTACCTACCAGTTCACTAATTTTTCTTCTATGCTTTCAGAGTCTTTCACATATACTGTTAATGTATTATACCCAAATAAACTTGAATTGCTACAAAAACACTGATAGTAAAAGGATATGGAAAACCAGGAAAGTCATATGGACTCCATCTGTGAGATGGATGTCACTGTGTGACAACACAGTGGTGGCCAGTGTGTTACTGGGATACCTGAAGATATGCCATCACTACTGAGCCAAGAGATCCTTACCTAATACAGTGCTGAAATATGAACCTTCTAGATTCATAGGCATTCAAAATACATAGTGGCTAGAGCAGAGTCCAGCATACCAATCATAAAGACAGTACAAGACCAAGCAACAGGACTGTTCAATGTTTCATTCTGTTTTATGTGTGATTGCTATGAATAAGAGCAATTTGATCCTAACTAAGAATAACGTGAATTAATGTTTGTGTGTTTCACTTACTTTTGTCGAGTCAAAGGAGGCAAACCCCATTAACTTCATCATTTCTATTTCTTCCTCGGTTTTGCCCTCCAAGTCCTCCTCTGCAAGAAACAAAAGAAATAATTTGTGTTTTTTTTTT